AACCTCATCCCTTACAAAGAACATGTCTTGACATTGTTACCACATTTCGAGCAGATTACCTTCGAGCACTTCCCGCGAGAAGAAAATCAGCTAGCAGATGCTCTAGCTACAATGTCATCCATGTTTAAACTTAACTGGGATAATGAGGCTCCCCAAACCACCATTAAACGGATGGACGAACCTGCACATTGTCACGAGATTAATACCGAAGAAGTAGTGGACTGACCTTGGTTTCATGAAGTCAAAAGGTATCTCGAGGCTCAAGAATATCTTGAAGGAGCTTCAGTCAACGACAAAAAGCTCTTAAGGAGATTCTCAGCTAAGTTCTTCTTGAGCAATGGTATCCTATACAAGCGCAATCATGATTGCATTCTGCTTCGCTGTGTGGACAAGATTGAAGCTGAACAGATCATGGCTGAATTGCACAATGGTACCTTTGGCACTCACTCTAGCGGACATACGATGGCTAAGAAGATTCTGCGGGCAGGCTATTACTGGTCTACCATGGAAGTTGACTACTATCAACATTCCAGGACGTGTCACAAATGTCAAATCTATGCGGACAAGGTACATATACCTCCAGTTCCTCTCAATGTCTTAACAGCTCCTTGGCCATTCGCTATGTGGGGAATTGACATGATTGGAGAGATCAAGCCTACAGCATCCAATGGACACCGTTTCATCCTGGTGGCCATTGATTACTTTACCAAATGGGTCGAAGCAGCTTCCTTCGCATCCGTTACTAAGAATGTGATTGTCCGCTTCATCAAGCAGAACCTTATTTTTCGGTACGGCATCCCCGAAAGGATCATCACTGACAACGGTACGAACCTTAACAACACTATGATCACCGCCTTGTGCAAGCAGTTCCAGATTCAACATCACAATTCATCTCCCTATCGGCCAAAGATGAACGGTGTTTTCGAAGTTGCGAACAAGAATATCAAGAAGATCATACAAAAGATGACAGTCACCTACAAGGACTGGCATGAGATGCTACCGTTTGCTCTCCACGGGTACCGTACCACGGTACGCACATCAACTGGGGCAACACCCTATTCTTTGGTATACGGCATGGAAGCTGTTTTACCTATCGAGGTTCAGATTCCCTCCTTGAGAATCATGAAAGATGCTGGTTTGAGTGAAGACGATTGGATTCAGACCCGGCTTGATCAACTTAACTTGATTGATGAAAAGCGACTTACTACTGTTTTCCATGGTCAGGCGTATCAAAAACGGATGATCAAGGCTTTCAACAAGAAAGTCAGAAGACAAGTGTATCAAGTCGGGGATCTTGTAATCAAGCGCATTATCTTGTCGCAAAGTGATCTCAGGGGCAAATGGACTCCTACCTATGAAGGACCATTTGTAATCAAGAACATCTTTTCTGGTGGGGCAATGATCTTAACCACCATGGACGGTGACGACCTGCCGCACCCTGCGAACGCAGACATAGTCAAAAGATACTATGCATAAACGACCCGGCAAGTTGAAAACCCGAAAGAGCGACTTGGGTAAAAAAAGGGGCATCCCGGTGAATCGAAAACCCGAAAGGGCGGTTCAGGAAAAAATTAGGGATAAATAAAAAAATCTGTACACCCGGCAAGTTGAAAACCCGAAAGGGCGACTTGGGCAAAAAAGGGTTTCCCGGTGGACTGAAAACCCGAAAGGGCGGTCCAGGCAAAAGTTAGGGAATTAAAGCGTATGACTATGTCTCGTCGGATCACTTTAAGGACAATCTCTTCACGGACAAGCTTCGGGCTTCTGATCAATCCAATCATCTTCGGACGAAGCAACGAATGGACAAGATATTCAGAGTTACGAAGGCTATAGCAGAATGGGAACCCCATGGAATTTTTACACATAGCCATCTTTCTTTGTATAAATTTTTCTCATTTTTTATGACAACATTCTCTTACTAGGATGTATGTCTCCTTTGTACGAAATGCTTACACAAAGTTAATACAAAGATACTTCAAAGTGCAGAAAACTATTTGTCTTTTCTTTTTTTTTACACTCGTGTTTTATTTGAAAACGTCCAATGATTTATTAATGAGCATATGCATTTGAATATAATCGATGTTTTACAAATAAACAAAATGGGAAAGAATAATTACTGACAGGTTGAAAGTATAGGAAAACGTCTTTAGACTATTCTAGGAGAAATTCTCTGCAGTATATCATCTAGATCCTCAGCGGAGCTAAAACCTTAAAATACATATCCCCGACGGAGTTACAATTTCAAACCTTTAATTCCCATCAGGGTTAATTCATCAACAACTCTCAATTCTCCACCAGAGTTAAAACTTCAAACTCCCGATCCCCAGTGGAGCAAAAACTTTGAACTACAAACCCTCAACAGAGATGAAACCTTCTTCCCCAGTCGAGTCAAATTTCCAACTATCAATCCCCAGGGGGAACCATTCAGTTTTCCCCAGTTTCCTCAGCAAGTTTATCACAAAGCCTAGAAATCAACCAGATAACAGTTAACTTTTGTCTTATCCCCAAGCTAGGATAATTCCCCAGTAGATTGACATACAACTCAAACTCTTGAACTTCTTCCAAACAGGAATAAGCTTTTCCCCCAGAGTCCTGAACTTACTCTCCAGCAGGATAGCTACTCCCCAACAGTATAACTATTCCCCACAGAGTTTTTACTCCCCAACAGAATGAAGATTCTCATTCTTGATTCCCCAGTGAAGTTGCCAGTCTTCATTACTCCCCAACATGAATTTTTCATAATTTTTAATCCCCTGCAGATCAAAGATTCTCATTCTTGACTCCCCAGCATGAACTCCCCAAGGATTCAAATTCTCCAGGAGATCGAAGTTTCTCATTCTTAATTCTCCGCGGAAGCCATCAGGGTCTTCCTTATTCTCCAGCAGATCAAGGTTTTCCTTTGTCTGATCCCCGGTAGAGATTGCAAGAGTTTTCCCTATTCCCCAGCCGAGTAAGGATTCCCATTATTTAACCCCCAGTAGAAGTCTTCAAAGTTCTTTGGATTCCCCAAGCAGGTTTCTCAAAGCAACACTTGGCTTTATTTTCACAACGGAATGTTTATCATCCTCCAACTCCCAAGACTTGAAGGATCCCTGTAGCCTCAGGAAAGTCATGAAGGATTCTCACATCCCCACAGAAGTTGTCAAGGATTTTTAATCTCCAGCAACGGTCAAGGATTTATTTTCCCCGGCAGCCGTCGAAGATTTTATCATCCCCAACAGTCACCAAGGATTTCTCATCCTCAGCAATCAAAGATTTTGAATCTCCGGCAGCAGTCAAGGATTTCATTATCCCTAGCTATCAAGGATTTATTTTCCTCAACAAGACATCAAATCAACTTACATGCACATACATTACACTCATATATCATAAACATTGATAAAATACATTTTATTGCATCATACATTTCATGCAATATAACTTTGTGTTTCAGCTAACATTTTACCCTTTTCAGGATAAGATTAACAACTATCTTTAACAAATATTCAAAGATTTCAGATACAGTACGGATACACTCCAGACACGAAAATTATTCTGCTACTCATTCAGATCTCTTATTTCAGATACAGTATGGATACACCCCAAACACGGAGGTCATTCTATTACTCATTCAGAATTTCAAGTCAAGATACAGTATGGATACGCTCCAGACAGGGATGCCATTCTGTCACTCATTCAGACTTCAACAATCAGATACAGATTAGATACGCTTCAGACACGGAAGTCATTCTATTTCTCATTCAGATTCAACTATCAATTTCAAGTTCAAATACGCACCAGACACGGAAGCCATTCTGTCACTCATTCAGATTTTCCCCAGCTCAGATACACTCCAAGACATGGAAGTCATTATGTTACTCATTCTAAAACCGTTTTTCAAAATATTAAAAGTTTTTCTATATTCATTTTTTCTAAATTGAAACACTAATTTTGATATCTTATAACATAAGCATACATTATTTAAGATCAACACAATCAAAATCGTAATTTTTTTAAAAAGTTGTATTTCAAAAATGATTTTTATGAAAATCTATTTGAAATAGCATCAAAATTAAGTGATTTGTTGAAATTTTGATATCCAAAAAAGTTTCAATAAGAAGATGAAATACCTAAAATAACATTTTAATAACAACTATTCAAACCAAATTTTCAATTGAAGCTTTTATGAAAAGTTTCTTTGTAAATTTTTTTTACACAAAATCATGTAACGCTATAAAAATCATTAAAAAGAAAAACAAGCCAAATATCTTCCCTTTACATAACCAATTCCCGTATCCAGATCTCTCGTTTGTTTTATTTTTGTGTTGGGTTATATCGATATTTTCTCTTTTCTTTGAAAACAATATAGTTCTGTGACGATTCTTGTTTTATTTAGTTAAATTAATCAATAGATTAATCTCAAAATTTTCCACCGCGACATCTTAGCCGATAAAATTTTATAAAACTAACTTTTAAGATAAAGATTATCCTCATTTATAAATACATATTTAGACTTTTAAAACACTCCCTCGCGTCCAACTTGGTCTAACGGGTTTTAACCACACTTTGACATCATTTTAAAATTTACCTTGTAAGATGCGAATTGTCTGTGTTTATAAACACATGATTAGACCATATAGTATTCTAAGGAGAAATCAACTGAAATATGAGACATGTCAAATAAGAGAACGAATGATATGTGCATCATTATTAGTTCAGTCAAAACTGAACAGGAGTGTCTTAGGGGTTAGAAAATTTTGGCATGAGAATTGACTTATATACAACAAATTTGTCAAATATAGGAATTATTAAAACCAACAATTAATTAGTTGTTAGATTCATTTAATTGAATGACAACAGTGCTATTTGCACAGTGTTCTAAATTTGACTTTTTCTATTTCAGAAATTTTGATCCCTTTGGTAGAGATGTTGCTTGCACAATACACAATAATTTGGCTATATAAATATTCATCTTTTGCATGCTTGAAACTCCATGTGCACACAAGTTTGATCATACAAACATGAGTTGGTTGCTAATTTTATGTTTACAGTTTTTCTTGTTGATTTCTCATGTTACTATATCATGTTCCTCTCAGTTTTTAGGCCATCTCAACGAGAGTTCTTACTTGCTGCAGTTCAAAGCCTCTTTCAACACAGATATTACTGATACCTCTTGTAAACTGGCTCATGCAGATGTATCGACATGGCAAAATGGGACAGATTGTTGTTCATGGCTTGGTGTCACACGTGACACCATTTCTGGTCATATAATTGGTCTTGACCTCAGCTGCAATGGCCTTCAAGGTATGGTTCATCCCAACAGCAGTCTTTTTCGTATTTCTCATCTCCAAACACTCAACCTTGCTCATAATAGATTATTCCCAACTCAATTCTCATCTCAGTTTGGTGCTTTTGTCAATCTCACACACCTCAACCTGTCTGATACCGGGATGCGAGGTGAATTTTCTTCCGATATCTCACACCTTTCTAACCTAGTGTCACTTGATCTCTCCATGAATGATGATTTAAAGTGGACACAAGATGTCACTTTGAAGAGGCTGCTTCAAAATGCTACATCTTTGACAGACCTCGTTTTTTATTATACGGACATGTCTTTCATCACACCAAGCTCGTTTTTGCGTTCCTTAATCTCTCTTCTTTGGCTACTACTAGTCTTAAAGGAACTGGTTTAAGGGGAAATATGACGACAAATGACAACACTCTTTGTTTACCGAAGCTTCAAGAGCTAGATGTGTCAGCAAACTTTAACCTTCAAGGTCAACTTCCAAAGTTGAGTTGTAGCACTTCCCTTGATGTCTTGGATCTTTCACTATGTCAATTCCAAGGTTCAATCCTTCAGTTTTTCTCTAACCTCACACATCTCACATATAGGAGGTGAGCTACCACCAGCATCACTTTCAAGCCTTAAACAACTGACTCTCTTGGATTTTTCAGGAAATAAACTCACCGGTCGAATTCCAGACGTCTTTGGCGAGTTAACCAAATTGAAAACTCTCATTCACATTCCTTAGTATATGTTTTTGTGCAACAACATGTTACAAGGAAATATTCCCGAACCACTTTTCAACCTTGTAAACCTTACAAATCTGTGTCTATCTTCAAACAACTTGAGTGGTCTTGTCAATTTTAAACTCATTTCAAAGTTCCAAAATCTTGAAAGCCTTTCCCTTTCTCGAAATAGTCAATTATCACTCAACTTTGAATCTGATTCTGAGACGGCCAATTACAGTTTCCCGAGCTTAAGAGTATTGCCCAAATCATTTGGAGAAGTATTTCCAAGTTTGGTTTATGTTGATCTATCCAATAACAAACTGAGTGGAAGAGTTCCGAATTGGTTACCAGAAATGAGTTTATTACAATCTTTGAACCTCTCCCAGAACATGTTCACATCAATAGACCAATTCTCAATGCACTACTGGCTGAGATCCCTTGATCTTAGTTTCAACTCACTAGGTGGTGAGATGTCTTTATCAATTTGCAACACAGCGGTACTTCAAATTCTCAACTTGTCCCGCAACAAATTTACAGGTATGATCCCACAATGCATTGCAAACTTACCATTCCTTCAAGTGTTGGATGTAGAGATGAACAAACTGCATGGTTCTGTGCCAAATACCTTTTCCAGAATGACTTTCAGTACTCTCAATCTTAATGGCAACCAATTACAAGGTCCTTTGCCGAAATCTTTGTCCAACTGCACGTACCTGGAAGTTTTAAATCTCGGCAACAACAAAATAGAGGACACATTTCCCTATTGGCTTCAAACATTGCCAAATTTGAAAGTACTGGTTTTGCGAGCCAATAAGTTGCATGGTCCCATTACCAAGTTAAGATCAAGAACAATCCATTTCCCAGTTTAATCATATTTGATATCTCATACAATGACTTCAGTGGTTCAATACCAAAATCCTACATAGTAAATTTTGAAGCCATGAAGAATGTTGTTCCTTTGCAGTTGCAATACATGAAAAAGATGGCAACTATTGCAACAACTACCCGTACCTACGAGTTTTTCTATGACTCGGTGACCGTTACAATAAAAGGGAACAATATCATATATACGAAAATTCCTACAATCTTTGTCAGTATTGATTTGTCAGGAAACAAATTTGAAGGAAAAATTCCAAATGCTATTGGAGATCTTCGTGCACTAATAGGACTCAACCTTTCCCACAATAGAATTATTGGTCCTATTCCCGGATCCTTGGGAAATTTAATCAACGTGGAATCAATGGATCTCTCCTCAAATATGCTCACAGGTAAAATTCCTATCGAGTTAACTAATCTAAACTATCTTGCAGTCTTGAAGGAGCAATACCTAGAGGGGGACAGTTCGATACATTTTCAAATGATTCCTACGAGGGAAATTTGGGGTTGTGTGGACTTCCGTTGTCAATAAATTGCAAGAATATTACTAAACCCTCTGATGAGCATGAACAAAAATTCGGATTTGGTTGGCAACCCGTGGCTATAGGATACGGATGTGGAATGCTATTTGGTATTGGATTGGGATGTTTTGTGTTGTTAATAGGAAAACCTCAATGGCTTGTGATCATGGATGGAGGCAAGATTAATAGAAGGAGGACAAGGATGAGAGTTCAGGAAAGAATGAATCAGAATCAGTTACTGCAAATGTGATATAATTGATTGAAGTGCATATCTTATTGTAATTTATTAAACACTTTGTTGTAATAACAAACATGCACGAAAAGTAGCATAAGGAAACTCAAAACACTTTGTGAACTTGTTTGCTCAAACTTTTATGACAGATTGTATGCTTAAACTTAAACTAGGAAATGCAGTACATGTTAAGGACGACGAGTAATAGGAATCAAACAAAGGTCATTTTTTCTTCTAAGAGAAAATCCAAATGACTCGCTCATGTCAAGTTCTTCGTTTTTCATTCAATTTTGAAGCTTCCAATCAAAGTGGTAAAGTAACATAGCAAATGGCAACTCAACATTGGGTAAAGCAAATGCTATACCTGGACATATCCTCCTTCCAGCACCAAATGGTATGTATTCAAAGTCGGTGCCTTTGAAATCAAGTGGACTATTAACAAACCTTTCAGGTTTAAAACTTTCAGCTTCAACCCAATACCTTGGATCTCTTCCAAGCGCCCAAACATTGACAGCAACCCTTGTTAGCCGGGATCTCTTATCCATTGATTTGACTTCTCTCTCTACTTTCTCTTGGAACCAACAACGGTACAACAGGGTGTAGTCTCAGTGTTTCTTTGATGATAAACTTCAAGTATATCAATTGGTGCAATTCTGACTCATCTACATACCCTTTTTTATCAAACACTCTTCTTATCTCAGCTTGTGCTTCTTCCATCACCTTTGGATTCTTTACCATCTCAGACATCGCCCATAAAACAATACCAGCAGCACTGAACAAGTCCTGCATATGAATAGTCACTGTACGTTACTATACATGTAAATCAGATTCTATTTTGTTTGGTTAGGACTTTTTATATTTGTCATAAAACCGTTATAGATTCATGTATTCATACAGTATAGAATATAATAACTTTTTAAATCGGACGACGAACTGGTGTAAAATTATATTATAAATTGGTTATAACAAAACCGAACACGAAAATATTTTAGACGTGTTCGGTTATAGACTAACCTGGATGACTGCTTTAATGTTGTCGTCAGTCAAATGATTATCCTGTTGTAACTTGAGAAGAACATCAACTAGATCTTCATCTCTGTAATTGCTTTTGTGATCTTTGATGATATCTTGCAATATCCTATCAGTATCTCTACAAAGTTTTTCAAATCTAGTCTTTCCCCTACTCACCCTCTGAAGCAATACTTTAATAGAAGGATACAAATCTGCAATACAAAACCCTCCTAACAAACTCACTATTTCCTCCATTGCTGTTTTAAACACATGTTGGTGTTTGGTCCTTTTTCCAAACACCGCACACGATGTTATTTCATATGTCATTGAGAATATGTTCTCAGTGAGATTAACAATTGATCCTTCACATGTAGATTAACTAGTTTTGAAACTACTTCTTCTCTTAGGGACCGGAATGATTGGACGCGTTTTGAACTTTATAGCTCTACAATGCATACTTTTCGTAGTTGCCTCCAATAATCTCCATGAGCGAACGCAATACCGGTAGCATTGTAAGTAAGTATTGTAGGCAAAAGAAGGTTTGGTCTATCACAAAAGTTTAAGTCTTGTGTTTTCATAACCTCTTTGGCTATTTCTGGTTAAGTAACTATTATGTATGCTACTTGTCCTAGTTTTAGGTACATTAAGGGTCCATATTTCTCTGCTAAATTTTTAAAGCAGTGATGGGGCATTGAACTGCTTATAATTTGGTGTATGTTTCCTATGAGGGGTAGTGTTCTTGGTCCTGGTGGTAAATTAGTGATGGAGTTTTTAGAAGTACTCCAGTTTTAACTATTTTGAGTATCATGAAGAGCAAAAGAAAGGAGGTGGCTATGAAGGTACAAGAGAAAGGGCTGTGAAGCTCTATGATGATAGCAAGAGTATATAACAGGAGCATATTCTACACAAAACTGAGGGGAAAAGAAAACCATGCACAAACTACAAGTCTTCATGGATGAGAGCTATCAAAAATAGTTAATATATGACACAAGCAAAAGTCCAATGACAATTAAGTTTACCTCACACCAGTAAGAAGAGGAGTATCAGCTCCAAGTTTTGATCAATAGGCCTTGCTTGGTTTGGCCAACTTTATGAGTAGGTAGAGAGTAAATTATGTGCTGCAAGATAAATTGTGCTCTAGGATAAACAAATGCACAATAAGACCAAATTTCAAAAAAGAAGAAATGTGAAGCATGGTGAACTTATTTTCCGTCCTCCAACACTGGACAAGAGGTTCTCTTGAATTTTCCATTCTCCAACAGCAACATTGAAGATGAGAGCAGTTAATGCTAAATCAGAGAAAGTCGAGTAAAAAATTATTTTTATAAAACATGGATAAGAAAAGATTCTTTCTTATCATCACAATAAAGTATGATCAAATGACAAAGGCGGCTCAAAGGCCAAAAGCAGCGCAGAGGCCACCTAATCTGCTATATTTTTCTGCAATTGCGTGCTATAGCACTACTATCGAAAACATAGTGACAGATAATGATAGCCCTAATTAGTTTAACAAATACCGTGCTACCGAGTAGTTATACCATCAAAATAAGACCAATTTTTACTTGGTTTCCATTCATTATTATTCCTATCTTTCAGTTGTATGCTCACCTCAGAACCATAGATGTAATGACAGTGACAAAAGAATTATCCTCACATGCCTATACAAGATTGAAGATTCACAAACCAAAAAATGATTGTCCACCACACAAAATAAGACAGTTTACATTGTAAAACTGTTGCATAAAGAAAGGCACAATTCCTATATTTGAGAGTGCAGCTTCCCAGTTCCAATGCTCTTTGTAAGAGAGTGGAAATTTCATCGAAACTACTATGCCTACAGAGTATACTACAAGGTCCTTTCGATAATTAAAAAAAAAACACAACATTGTAAATCCTCACCGAAAATATTGTCCATAGTCACAAAATTGAAAGGTAATTTATCTAGAAAGGCATGTTACAGCTTCAAGATTTACATCGGGAAACATCAAGATGACTATAGCTTCATGTTTCCAAAAAATCATCATTTTATTGGTACATGGAAAATAAAACAACATAATCAGTTATATCAATTTCTTTCTCCGAACTCCTCCAAACACAACTTAGGAAAATGGAAATTCTCTTTGCAAAATTTACTGACCAAAGAATGAATTATGCTTTCTTTGAGTCTATATCCTTCTCTAAACATCAAATCTAAAACAATCAAAATATCATCTAACCTATCTTCCTGTGATAGACCGTCAATCAGGTTCTCAAAGGTCTGCTCCTTGGGTTTCAGCTTCCAACTTATCATCTTTAGCAACCATTCCATACCTTGAGCAACATTTCCTTCTTTACATAACCCAACTATAATATTATCAAGTGTACTAGCAATTGGTTCCAAATGCCTATCATGCATATCTTTCAACAACCTCATTGCAACCCCAGTTTCACCGACTTCACAAAGGCTTTTTATGAGAGGAGTAAATGAAGAAACTGATGGCTCAAAGCCCTGTGCAAGAAGTTCATGCAACAAATCAGTAGCCTTGACTAGCTCGCCATTCTGGCAAAGGCCTTTGATTAAAGAGTTGTAACTAATCAAATCACGAGCAACACCCTTTCGAGACATCTCATGAAACAAGCTCAGAGCTTCATCAACCCTTCCACGCAAACACAGACCCGAAATCATGGTAGTGTAGCTAACCACATTTTCCGCATAACCTCTATCACACATATCATCATAGAGCTTCTTTGCCTCAACCAAATCACCAATCTTACAATAACCATCTATCATTACATTATATGTGTACTCATTCGGCACAAGTCCTTTACAAATCATCTCAAACCACAACTTCCTAGCCTCACCAAGTAACCCCATATCACAAAGACCTTTGATAACCGTAGTATACATAACCTTATCTGGAAAATACCCTCTATCCTTGAGATCGTTAAAAACCCTAAAACCCTCATCATTCTTCTTCCTCTTGAAGAGTCCATTAATGACTTCTTGATAAGTATATATACCCGGATTACACTTCATTGAAATCATAATATGAAGAATCTCAGAAACTCTAGCATATTGACTCTCCTTACAAAAACCAGCTATAAGCGAGTTAAAAACAGTATTATCAGGACACAAACCCTTCTCAAGAACCTGTCTAAGAAGTTCATACCCATCAAAAACTTTACCTTCAGCACAAAACGCCTTAATAAGACACCCAACAGTTTCAACATCAATGCTACCGACAACACCAGATTCAATCATATGCGCATACAATTTCCAAACCAAATCAGTCCTCCCAACTTTCAAACAAGCCAACAAAGATACATTAAAAGTTGACACCAAAGGTAAAAATCCAACCTTTTTCAATCTAAAAAACACATCAACTGCATCCCCAACCATTCCGCCTTTCCCCAGACATCGAATGTAATTCTCCAAAGAAGCAGGCTTTGGATTAAAATCAGGACAATCATCAAGCAATGACTTTGCAGCTTTGCAGGCACCAGCATCAACAAGGGCATCAAAAAGAGCATCACACGAAGATTGATCCGGTGAGAACCCACATTGAGAAGTGAGCCAGTGAAGGAAACGAAGAGAGAGGAAGGTGTTGTTCTGATGATTGAGATAATGGAGGAAGAAATTGGGGTTTGAGAAATTGAAAGATGGGTATTGGGAAAGAAGGGTATTCTCCCAACGGGGTTTGGTTCGAGTGATGGTGCAGATTTCATTGAGAATATGAGTAAAGTTTTGATCTTTGGAATAATCACTACCTTGTTTGGTTTCTGTAGTGAGGTTTCGGAAATACGAGGTTGTTCTTCTCCTTAGTAACATGGTTGTTGGTTTGTGAATGAAGCTCAAAGGGTTGTTGTCGGAGTGGAACAAGAAAACGTTAATGCCGCCCAAGTATTCGAGTTTATTTGTGGCTATGGTGGCTGTGGATGTTGTACAGAGAAGTGTGGAACGGTGAAATCTAGTGGGAGACGAAATTTTTTGGTAAAACTTAAGGGAAAAGGGGATATGTCCTCGTAACCAATGAGGACAGTGTATTATGTTATGTCAAACCGATAATTTTAAATAATTTGGTAACAAGGTAGACTGTTATATTTCTATTGAATTGTAATGTAAAAAATAAAAAAATTAATTAAATTCAAAATTTCATCAATTAAAAGAAATGAACTATGTATATGAAAAAATTACAATGTCAATCAATAATAATTTTAAATAGTAAATTTTAAAATCTATAATATAAGAAAATAAATGTAATTGGAAAACTTCATTGTGTCATTTGGGTCTTCTGCTTTTCTGACACATAATATGCATTGTTCAATCAAAACAATATCTCTCTCTTTGTTAAGAGTCTCACATCGGACAATATATGGCATGAACATGTGTTTATAAGTTGGGGCAATCCTCACCTACAAGCCGGTTTTATAGGGTTGAATTAGGCTTAACCACATCTTAATACTCTTCTCGTCTCCATCTTTCTCTTCTTCCTCATTCACTCCATTATCTCTCTCTCTCTCTCTCTCTCTCTCTCTTCCTTTAAAAAAACAAATCTCCCTCACTTCTCATTCTTTTGAATCTATTCAAGAGGGTGAACCTCACTCTCCAAATCCAGAACCCTTCTTCTCCATTTGCGTCGAGCTCGTCAAAGAGTTATAGAGAACGAGGATTTAACTAGTTGAACCGATCTGCTTCACTCTTCATCGAAGCTTCTCGAATGTCCTGCTCTTTCTGCTCGGTTTCCTCCACTTCAGGTTCTCTCTTCTAAACTTTCTCAATTTTTTCATTGTTATATGCTTGTTGCAATGAAATAGATTTTGATTAACATTTTGAATTCACTTTTATACAATATTTAGAGGAACTTGGATCAATTTGAAGCGTTATCGAAGAAGCTTAAATCCAAGACAGTTAGGGTTAATGCTACATATGTTTTGTTCTGCATCTCTTCTTGTCGGCAGTCCAGCAAAACGCTTCATCATACAACCATTTTTTCCTTCATTGTTGTGTTTTTTCTAATATAAACCTTAAAATGGTTATAGTTTTGTATATTTGGATGTTATGATGTGCGATAAAAGCTTATTTTGTGTTGGTTTCTAAAACGTATGGCATGAAAAATAATTAATTTGTGTCTGTTTCTGAAACATATGGTGTAGTGTGTTAGGTTCTTGATGTTGTTTTAATGTTGTTCATAAACCACTATAGAGATCGTTAAGTTTTGACAGACTCATAATCATTTTGCTTTGACTGTTGACTCAAAAGAGATATTTGGGTTTCATGAACATAAAATGGTTTGTCTTTTTAATGTTGTTATTACGTTTCAGAAACATATAATGGTTTGTTTTTGGTTCTTAATTGTGTCAAAGGCAATTATTCTTCCTCTCAATCAGTTTGTTCAACTATCTGAGGTTAATGTCCTTTTGAAATTTGTTTTTATTAGTTGTTTACTACATTTATTAGCTTATGTTGTACCTTAATGATTGGTTTTTGTAATTTATTGATATATTCTCGCAGGTAACTTTTTATTCAACAATTGCAACAACTGATAAACTGATTGCATTCAAATATAGATGATATTACCAGGCATGTCATGAGTGTCTGAATATAGCGAAGGGAGACAATCCTCCATTTATTTGTGGTAATGGACATACAACGGAAACAACTATATATAGGTGATTCCTAATATTATGATAAAATGTATAATTTATATGATATGTGATTCTAAAGTAGGGAAAGTGATAACACGCACATATATGGGTTATGCTAATACACACCCATGTAGGTGTGTATTAGCAACACACATATATTTAAGTGGGTCCCATCAATTTATGCACTTTTTATTTTTTTTTCTTTTGATTTTTGTCATTTTAGGGGGTTTAAAACTCCCGCTAATTTACTGTTTAGGAAAAAATATTACTATCCACAATTAGGGGTGTTCGCGGTGCGGTTTGGGCGGTTTTGAAGCAAAAAATCATCCGAACCGCAAGAGAAAAAAACATGCGGTTCGGTTTGGTTCGGTTGGCTTTTAAAAATAAATCCGAACCAAACCAAACCAAACTAATGCGGTTTGGATTGGTTCGGTTGTTTCAGTTTTTTACAAAAATAATTATTATGTCATACATACAATATAATTTTATACTTAATTGTTCATACATTACCATAAAAAATTTATAATCGTCAAAATAAATTTATAATTTGATACATAAAATTGCGTATTATAATTTTATCTAAATCTAAATAATGATATCAACAAGATTGCATTCTTAAATAAATATTATACAAAGAATATGATAAAATATATTTTGTGAAAATAGTATTTATAAATGAATAATATTTTATTTTTTATGATTTGTAAATTAAAATGAATATAATACAAAGTATGATAAAATATACACATAATACATGTTGATTTTTCTAAAGAATTATAGAAATATATATTGGTTAGTAAGATTTTATAACATAATGCGGTTTTGTTTGGTTTGGTTCGGTTTGTAAAATACAAACCGCAAACCGAACCGAACCATGCGGTTCCACGAGAAAATGACTCAAACACATCCGAACCAAATGCGGTTTTTTGCGGTTTCGATTTGGTTCGGTTCGGTTTTGCGGTTTTCTATTGGGCCGGTTTGGTTTTGAACACCCCTATCCACAACACATTTCACTTTTGTATTAATTTGCTATAATAAATTAGCGTGGGTTTTAAACCCCCCTTAAATAACAAAAATCTAAAAAAAATGGATAAATTGATGGGGCCGACTTAAATATATACCAAGGTGTATGTTATTAATACACACTTATATAAGTGTGTATTAGCATAACTATATATATATATATATATATATATATATATATATATATATATATATATATATATATATATATATATGTAAAAGAAAACATTGTGGTGTAAAACAACAAAGTTAGACATTACAATATTCTTATTATGATGTCTAAATTTCATAAGCCATCATTTTAGGTACAAAATTGAAGTAGATGTTGTTCATGGGGGAACTCGGTGGAAGTTTGTTTTGGAGACAAAAAGGGCAAACATTTGTTAGGTATGTCTGTTGCCCAAATGTGCAACACCGTGATAGAGGTATATATTTTAATGCAGTATGCAAGCTTGATTACATTGTCTTTCGTCATTTAATATTAATTGTTATACTCGATTTTTTAGAGTGGAATAAATGACCCTATTGAATTCCTCGTGGCACTTGATAAAATGTTCCTACAATAATGTTTGCACCTACAAGCGTGTTGGTTATGGTACATCTTCTGACAATATCCAAATGTTTGTATTTTCTCAATTTTGTAGATTAAGAAAAATATTGATGAGGCAACTGTTGTTGATGAATGCGATGTAATTACGGTATTCTTTTAATTCCTATAATGAATCAACCACCCTTGTCAGCTTATGTGACAGAGAGTTGTCCTCAACAAAACTTAAGAAACTCATGAAAGTGGAGAAGAAGCTAATGAAAGTGGAGAAGATGTAGCATATTCTTTTTGAACTCCTTATCTTTTGAATTGTTATCTATGTATTAAATCTACTTTAGAAGTCAACTTTGTTATTTTGTTATGGTTGTGTCATTTTGAAACTGTAGTGTTGTTAATGGAGTTCCACGTGAGCCTATGTGTATCATCTTCTCCACTTAAAACTAAACAAACCTTTTGTAATTGATAATTTTATCTTTAACTTTTTATTCAACTTATGCTTTGTGACTTGTCCTTTTTTTACTTATTGTACATGTCCATAAATTAACATGTAGATCGAGCCCTCGACATCTAGACAAACGTGAATAATATAAAATGTATTCTCTTCATCAATGTTAACAAAAATATAAATTTAAGACTCCTACTCTTTGGAGACAAAATAACTCCACTTCATTTGGTGCCCATTTTTTCACTTTCAATTAATTAATTAATAATACCATGAACAAAGAAAGTTGTACAAAATGCTACGGTAAGATTTCATTGTGTATTGGGTATTAATTATCTTGCAAAGCAAATGGAGTTGGCCACTGCTATGTGAAAAAGCAATATTGTCAAGGTGTTATGCTATGATTTGACATTTGCTTTAGTCAAATTGTGATTTCCAATGCTCTGCCTTGACACAACCATTGAGTAACATTAGCAGCTAACCATCATACCACTTGCTTTTAGTTGTATCACACAGATATAAAAAAATATATTATAACACGTTATAATAACCTGCTATTGCGCCCAACGCCCATGGTTATACCAATTTTAAGATACAATATTTTTAAAACATATATAGAAAAGTGAGTTATATATCATTCAAGTAATTTTACTAATATATGTTATTACTGTAAATAAGAGAAATATATGTTTTTTAAAAATTAATTTAAAATATTTTTAAATTAATAAATGAATCTTAATTTTTTTTATCAATGGGAACAAATGTTTTATTTATCCAAATATTTTTATAAATAATGTTGAAACAAAAATAATATTTATATACATGATATGAGAAAAAATACGATTGATCTAAATATTTTTATATATGGAAAATTATATTTATGATCATAATATAAATAAAAATATGTCTTTGTTTTAAAAATAATAAATTGTTTTAGTTAAGCGATTTTGTTTTTATTTCTTATTATTCTTATTAGATTTTGAAAATAAATCTGTGTAACACACCAGTACTCATGTGAACCCACGAGTATCTCACCGGTTACTTGTATGATTTGACATCTTCGAAACCCTCACTGAAATCATATCTGAATAACAATATTGTCCCAAGACAGCAAGAAAACACCTCATACTACTAGAAAACTCAGTCACATAAATATCAAACTCTTTCATTA